GATTCATATATTTGTAAGAACAACGTTAGTCAACATGCATATTATGTAATATACTCAAAACTCTGATTGCAGGAAGATGAAAGGATCAGAAAAAACAGGCTTGGACTACTACGAAAAATATCCGATCTTCCAAAGGGAATAGTGGACCTCTCAATTTTTCCGAGCTTCTAAACCCTTGGTTTTGGTTTGTAGGAGTTTTCACTATCACTGCTATAGCGAGAAGGTGTCAATGTCGGTACACCGTCCAAGAAATTGTGAAGAACCTTACCCAGAGGTACTTGCTATAGGAGTCAGCTGGTGAGAATATTAGTCGTAGCATTTTTTCTATTCTTTTGGGTCGTGCTCGTGCAGAAGGAGAATGTACTTGCAGTTTGGTTATCCTCCAACTATAGTTGAGTTTAATTCTTCAAATTTTGTAAGAAGTACAAGGCTCAAGCAGTGTTTCAAAAAGTGCTAGGCTCCAATCAAGTGAAGATTGGGTTTTGACCACTATGAAGTGTATGAATGGGCTGACAAGGGACAACCCTTGAGGGGACTATTTCTTATTTAAAGATTGTACTAAATACTTAATGCACCCTTTACTTACATTGAAATGTTTTTTAAGAAAACTGAATGTGGGCAAGCATTAATGTTCTTTTATTAGACAATAAAATCTGAAAATTGGTTGTTTTGTAACAAATTATTATGATTTATGATAGAGAATGGACTTATGGGTTATGACCTGTTTTGACAAAAATAAAATAAAATGAAATTAAAAAATTAATCAGAATATTAATATGTATAAATACTAGCAACAAAAAATGCTTTAATAGTAAAACTTGTGATTTGAGTTTTATTATCCTCAGAACACGTTACACAACCATGGAAAGTGCAATTAAATTAAACGAGCTTAGTTCGACTCGGCTCGAGCTCGGCCCATTAAGGCTAGAGTTTGATGTCTTAACGAGCTGAGCTCGAGTTTATTAAAAGCTCGTTTGGCTATCGAGCCGAGTTCAGCTTGGCTAGATAAGGTTCGTAGAACTTTTATATAATTTTTTATGATTTGGATCGTCAAGGCTCGAGCTCGAGGCCTTAACGAACAAAGTTCGAGCTCGATTTTAGGCTCGAATTCGAGCTCGAGCACCCTAAATTTGAGCTCAGCTCTGCTCGTTTACAACCTTCATTAGAATATACGAGGTATATAATCAGAATACTTTATGCTACCATGTGACCCAACACTTTAACTAGAGTCCAGGCCATCCCAGTTGAAGTCTTATGGGCCAGTGGCATAAACTGGGCTAGATACAATCTGTCTTTGTGCCGCCGAAGAGAACCTACGTAAAGCTTTTCCCCACGT